CAAAACTCAAACACGCAAACTGGTTTCTGTTTTGGTTATTTCCAGGGGGAGATAAGCCAGCCCCCCTGGTTTTTCTTGGTCTTCTCTAAGGAAATCGCTTCGAAATAGGTAAAATGTATGAAGTTCTTAATGCAATGGTATTAATTTTAACCGATTACTCTGAGGCTTTACTTACATATTGTTACATTCTTAATTAATGTTTGACTCAAGTAGTTAAGAGAAGATTGTCACAGTCACCGATTTTAAAAAGCATCCACGACAAAAATACAGCAATTGAAATGATGGATTATAAAGGTGAATTAAAATTAGTGTTGTAGCTTTCTGGCAAGGGGAGATTGATATTTGACCTCAAAGTTATTAAAAATTTGGCTGAATCAAAAAATCTTAAACACAGTTATTTGCTTGTCTCTGTTTGTTGACAAGCCGTCAATCAAATTGACTGATACTTCAGGCTTACATTAATTATGGATGTAACAATATGTATGTAAAGTCTCAGGGTAATCAGTAAAATACCATCGCATTGAGAGCTTCATACATTTTACCCATTTTGAAGCGATTTCTTTGGTGAAAACCTTGGTCTTAGGTACTTCAACCCATCTGAAAACCAAGGTCTATCTCCCCCTGGAAATAACCAAAACAGAAACCAGTTTGCTTGTTTGAGTTTTGAGGTAGACCCTTTAAACTGGAAAAGTTGCACTGAAATCTGTGTGATTGCAGTAGCACAACTGCCTGGTGCTCTCCTGGACACACCCCTTTTTTCCATCATTTCAGTTGTAGAATTTTCCCCAATCTCTCCTTGAGTTTAAAGGAATAATAAGTTGGCTGTTGTGAGGGCTGATGGAATAGGTACATTTGAGTTTGACATGAGGAAGATACAGAATGCTAATTTTGCTCTACACTTTTTGGTCTTAGTTACTTCACCCCCATTTGATATGTTCACCACTAGTCATGAAAAAGAAGAAGAACTACCAAAAACTATGAGACTTCAGGAAAGAAAATGTAAAGTGAAAAAAGGATCTGGATCAGATTAAGTCAAATCTGATATGAGATACTAAGTTTATACCGTGGTAGATGTTGTTAATATTTGGAACATAAACAATCATTCAAGCCCAAGGAACTTGCTTGAGATAAATATATACCACAACTTGTAGTTTTTTATTATTTTAACATTGGCCAGTAAACTTGTTCTT